TATTTTTCAACTATACACAGATCATTATATGCGGTGCTGTTACACATCTGCGTAACACGCATGCATGCTGTATAGTGGAATGAACGCTCCTTTGAGATTGTATGTAACATCCAGACCTGAACGGATGATATAACCCTTATTTGTTCTCTCTTATGCCATCCATCTCTTTTGAGAGGCTCCTGTTTCTAGAGCTGAGGTTCAGTAGTTTCATTTTCTGTAGTCTATGCACAAAGCGTGGTCGGTCTCTTTGCTGAAAGAAGTCATATGATCACTGATGGCTGCAAAGGAACTGGGTTTCTCCAGCTTCCCACTGTTTTTTGCCTTGGTTTGATCCAAACCTAAATTTTGCCCTTGACAATTTTAGAGTCTGGACTAGACTTATGACTTACTCATGAGTCTTAGATAAGGGTGCTCTGATACAAATGCTTCAAGGTGAGGAGGAGGTGGAATCTACCTCAGCACTACTGTAGAAGTTGAGGATCCTTCCTCTTTCAGGTGCTTTGATATCTGGAAGTATATAACAAATGCTATGCTTTCACACTGCCACTAGCACAGACAGGAGTGGTGGCTTTCTAGCATCCAGGACTTGCACAAAGAGTAGCTGGTATAGAAATATTTCTTGTTCCCAAATATCAGCCAAAACATCGGGTGTTAACTTGTCCCCATGGTGATGAGCATATATTTTCACACTATAAGAATCTGTCAAAAACAAGCACTTGCATGTTAAATATCGTTGAGCATTGGAGTCTGGTAGTTTAGCAATCGGTGGATGTGGTGATTTTTAAATTTTTTTTTTTTTTTTTTTTTTATTGCAGGCTGAAAAAGCTGAAGGATTCATCAGACTTCCAGACTTCAGTGTGGACCGAGCAACAGAATGCAAAAAAAAGCAGTAAGTTTCTCTCTTGCCTGAGGTTTTGCATGATTTTTACAGCGTTGCAAGGAATTGAATCTCAGTAGTGCCTGACAATGAAGCTGTGGGGAGCTCTTCTGTGTTGTATAAATAATGAGATATTAATTGAGCTACAGAAAGAAAACCATACTGCAAAAATATTTTTGAAAATTCTCTGCCAGATGTGCTGTTAAAACTACAAATAAAAAAGTAGATCAGTATGCCAAATGCTTTTTTTTTCCCCTTCACTTTGTCCACTGATTATGAGTAAGTTCTATCTTAGATACCTTCTCTTAGGTGGGGAGGTCAACAGTGGTGCAAGTAATGCTGCTTCACTCTGAGCTGGGACTATTCTTTAGGATGCTGTGGTGCAACTTTGTTTAGCAGGGTACAAATTTCAGAATATTGTCTCCAAACTTGATGTGCAGCCCTGACTTCCAGCTGCTTCTGAGTACTCTTCAAAGGTTTGGAGGGGTGTTGCTGCTATTCAAAGTTATAAAGCTTCAGCATGATTCTTATTCTGTCCCTCAAGAGAAAGCTTTTGTTCTTCTGTTGAAGTCTCGCATGGACATTAGCTGTAGGTGTTCTTGAGATTAACTGTGGACTTGACTCCTCCAAAGAAAGGGACAGCTATTTTAACTATGAGAAACTCCATTTTATTTTCTCAGAGGACAGGTTGAGTCACATAGTACAGGACCACAAGAAAATGTTGCTCTTTGCTTCTGCAGCTGTTGGCTGACAGTGACTGGGAGGCAAACACATGCTCATCACTTATTTGGGTTGGAGTAAGTTAGGAGAACTGTGAAGAGTGACCGGGGCTGCTGGGGCCCAGTCAAATCGTGTGTGCTTCCACGGGACAGAGTCAGTCATCTAATGAGGAATGAAAGAGGGAAGCCACACAGTCTCAGCATTGGAGACAATGTTTTAGGAAAAACAAGCCCTCTGAAAGGTCTTACTGATGGCTATTCAACTAAAGCATAGCCTGGGGCTGAGACCAACAGGTTAACTATTGGCTTGTCAAGGGACTACCTCCATTTTGTTTGTTTCAAACATGCTGCCGTTGGTGCCTCCTAAAACTTGTCTTGGAGAAGACAGCGAAGAGTCAGTCCCGATTCACCCGCTGCATGACGCTTGTGATTTTATTGTATTATACCTCCCTTTTCTCCACTGTCAGTTTTCCACGTTGTGGGGTCTTAGCCTGATTAATCACTCGTGGAGGCTGTTCCATACTTTGGGCCACCCCTGGTGATTTCTCTGAACCTTTTCCAGGTTCACTGTGCTTTTCTGAGCTGGCAGAAGCAAAGCTGCACACGGTATTCGAGATGTGGGTGCACAACTGCATTATATAATGGCATAATGAAGGTCTTTGTTTCATTCTTCATTCCTTCCTCTTCAGTTCCGTAGTTTATATCCTCTGAATAATGTGTGGCCTAGGAATTGAGCTAAAAATGGACTAGAGTTTTAAGGGAAGAGCTATATGGATGGATTAGCTGATTTGTCTTAATATAGCGGAGTGAATAAATATCTTAAATCATATTTTCTCTTTTCTTATGTAAACTAATTTTCTTCATATCTCTTCTATTTTTCTTTTCTTAAAGTGCTATTAAGATCAGCCACCCACAGATCAAGACATTTTATTTTGCGGCAGAAAATGTTCTGGAAATGAACACGAAAGTAAGAGCGCTTGTGCCTGTTTTTTTTTTTCATCCTGTCTCATGCCTGAGAACATCCTTTGAAAGTTCATTCTCACACTGTCAAGTGGCTGTTGACAAAGTTATTCGGGGAATTACTGAGTCTGTTTTGTTTTCTGGTCATTGTATAGAGAGAAAATACTGCTATTTGTTCACTAATGACAGTTGAAATCAGAATCGCATTATTAGCCTGATTTTGATACTAACCTTCCTGACATTTGCTGGTATAAATCACTTTCCATTGGAGAGATTTGAAAGATTTGATAACAATTTCATCACCTTGGGAGAAGTGAGGGAAGAAAGGAAAGAGAGGGAAAAGCTTAATATAGTTTTGTCCCAGAAGTGACCTAGGACTAGAATATAATATTGTCTGCTTTCAGAGTAGCATGTCAGTTAACAAGGAAGGTTAAAGGACAGAAAGGGCTGTCTCTTTAAAGTAAGCAAGCTTTTACTTCACCACCAAGCTATGTTGCAGTTAAACAATCTTCATGACAGATCAGAAATTTTCTTTCCACAAATGTCCATAAGAACAATAATCCATTAATGCAGTTTTTAATGGAAGAAGTAAAAATGGATGTGAAACTGCCATTTTAGAAACCACTGAGCCATCAGAAATAGATATTACTTGCTATTGATCCAGCTCTGGTTGGCTCTTATCTTCTTTGTCTTTTTTCCTTCAGATTGCAGTCTGTTCACAATGCTATTGCATTAAATGGCCAAATACTGGATACAAAGCAGTACAATTCAAATGGGAAGAGAGCTGCTATGATAGTCAGGTCAGGATTTTAATCATGGCACTGCTGGTGACCTTTGTGAGATCTATAAACAGGAGACCTCATGCATATTTACCACAACAGAAAAGGACAGAGGTTGAGAGAACGTGTGTGACCTTCCAAAAGTGCTATAGATACAGAAATTTATGATACTACAGTAGTGTATGTGCATATATATTCATAAATCTGTACTCTATAGATGCATACAAGTAAATACAGATGGAAAGGATGTGTTGCCCTTTGTAACTCAGAGCAGCATAGAGCATACTGGTGGGGAGATAACCATCCATTCCCGTATCGCTGCGTTTCCTACCGGAGCTCCTGAATGGAGTGAGAAGTTCTTGAGGCAGATGGGCTGAGGATGACTGAGAATGAGGGACAGCTGGACAGGAATATTTCTGTTGAGAGAGTAACCCTCATTGAGAGAGAAGAGGGGGAAGGATGTAGGGAGAAGGAAAAGGAAAATTAGAGCTAATGGAGGACGTTAGTGAGTGCTAGCAGCCAGTTTGGAGCCCAGCTGGAAATTCTCAGTGTCTTAATGACACTTTCAAAATGTTTAGTCTCATGTGAGTGATTGAAAGCTATGCAGGTGTCTCAGCTCTTATGTCCCCAGAATGATTTTCTTCATACTTCACCTCTCGAGTGAATTTCATTTTGGCATAAAGCTAGGTAGCCTAGCGCTAGAGTGGCTTGCACTATAGTGCACTAATTCCTCACTGTTGTTAACTGATGATGTTTTCCTTGGCAAAGTAGAAAATACATGCATTTAATACGTAAAGTACACGCATACTCACGCATATGTCAAAACAGACCAAAAGACATCTGTTCTCTTGGCTCCAGTCCCACAAATACATATGCATGTGAGTGGTTCCACTGAACTCACTGGGGCATTCGCGTGTGTCGAGTTACTGGTGTGCAGAAATGCTCGACAGATCATGACCTTTCGTAAGTCTTCGTGCATATATATATATATATATAAAATCAAAAGTGGATTTATTGATACAGTCACTAGCTTCATTCGTTTAGCATGTATTTGCCGTTGTCATGCACACATGAAAAGTAAATGCGTGCTGGCTAGCTGTGTGCATTTACCTGGCCTGTTGCATATGGTTCCCAGTGATCTGTCTGACCTTGCGGTTGGTTAATGGAGTCCTGTATTTTTTAGCAAAACTTTTATTTAGATTTTTTTATTTAAAAAATCATGCTGTTATGATTAGCTGTTAGAAGAAAGTCAATAATCCACCGTTACAGAAGTGATACTTTGTTTTCTTGAACTGTTGTATATATTTTTCATACTGCAGTCTAAAAATCCAGCTTAAATCTTGCCAGCAAATTTCCCATTGCTTCAGTAGAATCAAGATCAGACACAATGTTTTTTCAGAGTTATGAATCTTAATTCCTGCCCTTCATACATTCCCTATTTAAGCCTTCAGCTTTAATCTGAAAGGCCTGAGCTTTTTTAGTTTTTAGTTTCTTAAAACCTTGATAGATCTGAATGACCTGCAGAAGAACACAATATACAAAAAGTATATCCAGGGATTGTTTCTAGCACTAGAAAAATGCAGCCACCTAGGAAGAGAAATGAAAAAAACCTGTTAATAGCCTACAGCAACACAGGAAGTGACACTTACTAAAAACAAAAGTACATAGGGAGTTAAAGAAAGCAGTATATAATGGCCAGAAAGTCTAGTTTTAAATGGCTTAGACTCTTAGGCTGTGCTACAATAGCTTTGACCAGGGCAGCTGACATCATCTTCTATGGCTCCTGCACCTTCTACTTCATCTCAGGTGAAAGATGACACCTCAACAGCAGGACTAAGCCACTGGCATTGTGTTATAGCACACACATTTTTCCTTTGGCTTCCACAAATGTGACTCCTTGGTCATCAGTAGTGGTTTTCTTCAGGATCAGGGAAAGATGTTCCAGGCAATTAGTCCTGCTCACCATGGGGAATATTGGTATTCAGGTAACTGGTGTCTTTCTAGAGGATGCTCTAACAAATAGAAGGAAACTTGGACATTCAGTCTTCAGGTTAATGAAAAGAGTTGCAGTAACGTAGAACACATCTGGAAGGGCCAAACTCTGTCCAAAGAGCACGCAAGTATCCCTAACTGTGTATTCCCTCTGTTTCAAACACAGGTGGCTAAGCAAGCTGGGGATGGCTGTAGACCCTCAGGCACCCAACGGGAAGAATGAGGAAGGTATGCTCCTAACGGTGGTTTCAGTGTGTAACTTTGCAGTTTTTGATTGGCCAAATTTTTGTCAGCTCTTTTCTTTCTTTTAAATTGTCAACTTGGGTCCGTCTACCGACTGAGCTCTGAGAAACCACACTGATGCAGCACAGGATAGTCACAGAAAAAGAAACAGTGGTGAGAAACAGTGCCACTGAGAGACACTCAGTGATCTTTTGAGAGGTGTGTGACTACTTTCTGGCAGTTTGCTGGCTTGCTAAGCCTACCAAGTGTGAAGAGAAACAGCTGTGCTGCTCTGGGTTTTGAGTTGATAAGGTATATTACAGGAGTTGTGTTATGGCCTGGGAGCTCACTAGCTTTGGAACAGCTTGTGCAACGTAGACCTGTCCCTACTGTCTGCTCCATTTCTGGGAGTTTCAACAACAGCAGTGTCGGGTGCGGCATGGGGGTGGTAGTGGTGTACTGAAGCCTACAATTTCCAAGTCCAAGAGTTCATTGTGGAATGAGTAATTTTAAAATTTCCTTAGCAATTTTTTTATTGTTTTAATTTGCACACTGAACTAACAGAACCTCTTGGTGGGAGGATACCTGCACTTGAATCACAAACCTGGGTGGAGGACAAAGCAAGTCACCTGTCTTAGAAAAATCTGCTGGTGAAGACATGTAAACCTGGGTGGAGGACAAAGCAAGTCACCTGTCAGAGAGCTTAGAAAATCTGCTGGTGAAGACATGCGTGATGGGAGCTGGTTTAGAACAAGAAGCACTGTGGGTAATATTATGTTAGCAAACCAGGGATAGACTCTGACCTGATGAATAAGTATCTTCTTCTAGGCTTTTGACCCTCCATTTTTAGAGTACTGGTACCCAGCGTCTTTTTTAGAACTGCTCAGGTTGTGAAGGAGCTGGCATTATGAAGAAGAAACTGGTATTTGTAGTATTACGAACACTCAGGTTATGCAGACATTTTGTCTAAACACTAAAATGCTCCTCTCTGCATCCCTTCTGCTGGTTCCCAGAATAAAGCTGTGGTCTATGTTCTGGCCTGGACATGTAATGCTATTATTGATTAGTCTGATCTGGCCCTGTTTAGACTCTGGCTTCATTTATACTCTGCCATTAAAAGGAGCTTTGGGGCCGGTAAGCATAGATACCACTGACTTCTGGAGATTCAGCAGGTCTCATCAACTTCTTTGTTTTCAGTTCATGGTTCCTCTTTATTTCTTGTCGGGAAACTTGTTAATTTCTGTACCCCCAATTTCCTCCAAAATGCTTGTGTCCCCTTTGAACCCAATTTTGTATCAAAAAAGTCTGAAATAATTAGGATAAAGGGCTATACGGAGTATTAGGCTGTGTAGCAAGAACTGCATGGTAATTGTACTCGGGGAAGAAGTGTCCAAACATGTTATCCATGTTTTCACAAAGGAGGAATTTGATGGAAGATGAGGATGGTCAAAATTCCATACATGAAAACAATTTTTTTTTAACCTCAAAAAATGTAGTATTGGTTGTGTTGGCTGAGTCGAGAATTATAAAACAATTCAAAATGAGTCAGCCCACTAATTGTAATAAAAAAAATGACAGACAGATACAAAACAATCTGTTCAATGACCTCTGCAGCAGGTAATCTACTTACCCTGCAGTAAACATAACATAGCCAAGATTACTTCAGCTTTGGAAGCTGGTGGCCCATTTCCCCTTCAGAAAAAGGCACTCGGATTCGGGTGTCAAGCACCTCCTCATCTTTACACGCATGTTTTGTCACAGGTGCTGCAGCAGCTGCCTTGAGCGTGGGTTCAGCCCCCCACCGACACACCTGGGTGGACGTGCCCTTCCAGAGGCATTGCTATGTTTCAGAAAAATACTGTCATTAGCCCCAGTCTGTTCTCCCCTCTGTATTGCACATCATAACTCTTCAGGAGGGTCCTGGCTCTTGTTATGGCAGTTCTTGTGTATTCATGTACTTTCTATGCATTTTAACACCCCCCAAGCCCCATTTGCCTATTTAGAGTATGAGAAACAGCTGTTGATTCTTTTTCAGTTCTTCTGTGTGCCCAAAAGGGGAGCTGTAGAAACAATAAGCTCTTTACTAAGAGGTACTCAAGAAGACATTAATAGAGCCTTAGAATTTGATATAGGCCTTATTGCAGCCAGTCTCAGTCCTTTATGCTACGATGTGCCAGCACATATTTCTAGTAAACAGAATAGCAACTATGCTATTAAAAACCCCTATAGCTCTGCAAACAGTATGGGGAGGAAAAGTAATGAATCTCTTTAAGTTTCACTTTGTTAACATCTTGGAAACCTCTCTCGCTTGTGTAAAATTCTTCTCTCTTAAAACTTTGTTCCCCTCACACTGTGCCTATCAAAACCCCCGAATGACACGCACAAAAAGAAAGCGTGCGGGTATTAGTTTAGTCAAAAGATGAGATAATCACAGGTGATTTCCCAGCGACTGTGTTAACACACTGCTTTCTAGAGGTGTGAACTCATGAAGTCCAGCTCTTACAAAGTTCTCCCAGAACATAAGCAACCCTCGCCTGATTGGGGAGAGACCTGGAGGGGTTGCTTCTACCGGGGAGACCCAGCCCCTCTTGGGCAGAGAAGCTGTAGCATGCAGCTGGAGTGGGGAGAGGCAGTGCAGGGCACCGGCTCCTGTGGAGACCCCAGGGCAGCTGCTGCTCTTGTGACACTTGGCGCCCACTCGTGTTGTCCCCATTAAGCTCCCACTATGCCTTTGCAACCTTTCATGTCCCCTGCCCGGTTGGGTCGGGTGGGGGGGTGAGCGCTGTCACCCTTCACATGTGGTGGCAGGGCAGGGTGCAAGCACTTGTTCCTATAGAAGTTGGATGTTGAAGGCTGATGCGTCCTGGGAGATTTAACAGCAGGAAGTGATCTTGCCCAGTGGTTACATCCAGGGCCTGGCAATTGGAACCAGCAACTTATTGCCTCCCATTTTCTGTGTCTCATTTTATCAATAATTATTACTTCATTTAATCCACTGTTAAAAAGCATCTGAGAAAATGCTCTCACCTGCTACACAGGTAGTTGAAGGAAAAAACAACATGACTGCCTCTCTGCCACGTGCCAAGAGATACTGAGGGTCTATCAAACCTTGCTTTTTATTTAAAAAAAAATATGAGTGGGGTGTATAGTCCTAGTGTACTGTGTTTACCTTTAGTGCTAGATCTGCATATGTACTGCTGTGCTGCATGGCGTGCCTCTCTGAGTTAACGTGTGGTGACAGAAGGCTCTCCCGAGGCTGCTCTATGGTTTCCAAAGCACCATGTGAGCAATCTCTTTTCTCCGGAATCGCAGCCAAACCACCAATGAATGTGTATTAAGGCACAGCATCTAGTACTTGCAACAGGTGACCCTAACTTAAGCCATAAATGAGGCAGCCTTTTTTTAAGGGTTACAAAGGGAAAAACAAACCCACCCCAAACCTGTTTGGGATGCTATCTAGAGCAGTGCCACCTAGTGTTTCCTGCCATAGCAAATTAGCAAATTTTTTAACTTAAAAAAAAAAAAAAAAAAAAAAGAAAAAAGGTTGCCATGAAGTAGTGTAGCATTACCACAAGTGGGTTAATTTTCACTGTAGGAGACACTGTCTTGTTACAGCGTGGTCCTCAGCCCAGAATATCCTACTTGGTGATCTTTGGTTACCACAGCGCTGCAAGGTATAAATGAGTGTTGATCTAACACTTTGGTTTTGCTCATTTTCCATATCTGCCTCAGAATGCTACAGCGAAAGTGAACACGATGATCCAGAAATAACAGACACACCACCTCCCCCCTACACAGTCCAACCACCACCGCCTCCTCCTTCGGTAAGTGTTACAGCAATTAGCTTGTTTCTAGTTGCTAGACAGTTGGAACAAAACTTTTTTGAGGTGGTGGACCTTTGAGGAACTACCTAAAACAGCGGCTGGAAGTGTTCGCCCTGTGTGCCCGTGAAATGAGGATGCACTGGATGCCCCGGCAGCGCACGCAGGTACTGCAGCCCGCACTGCTGGGAGCCTCGCGCTGCAAAGAACAGCTCCCTTGGATGGAGGTATATTTATCTTGCTGGGGAAAGGAAAGCATCACTCTACCTCGTATACACACTCTGTCCTTTCTTTACGAGGTTCTTAACACACTGCCATAACCTAGTTTTTCATACTATTTTTTTTTTTAATCAGTCACAAATCATCTTTCTTTTTGTGATCCTCATAGCATCAACCAACAGACGTGTATTTATTTATTTGAGTGAGCTGTTCTAAAGACTGCTGAATTTGAAGCTGCTTTTGTGGCAGTAAGGAGAAGTGAAGGGGAAAATACCTCCTCTTACAGTGAAAAAATTGTTTCTTTTCCTCTACCTCTGAAAAATAGACTACAAAAAAAAGAAAATAAGCAACCTCCCCAGAGCTAGACTATTTTTCTCTCTTGCTGTGGAGTATTGTCCAGAATATTCCTTCCTGCCTCGCTTCACTTCATAAATTAGGATAAGCACTATGCAGCCTCATGTGTCTAATCAAATTGGCTTGCCTAATTATTAGCTACTTACTGCCCTATTAATGTTGCTTTTCCCAGTGATCTCATCTCCCCTTATGTGTGCCTTAAGATATAAGGTTTACTTAATTCTGTGTTTAGAAATGAGTACTCCGGTTTGGGATGGTAATGCAGCTGAAATAAGGAATCCTGAGATCAAGCGTTTCCCTTCCCCAGCTGAAAGTTAACATCAAGGGGTATGCAGTAATATACTTAATACTAAATCATCTCATGGCATCTCATGGAAGGGAAGCATCTGCTGCCTCACTGGTGCGGTACAGGTTCCTGTACGGCACGCTGAAGTGACAGCCAGTAGCTGGGCTGGGCAGAGAGGCAGCGAAGCAGGAACAAATTTGAATCATACAGATGAGCTGGAGAAGCTCGCGTGGTCGCAGGCAATAATAAAAGGAGTCGTCGTGCACAGGGTTGCCTGCCTGGCAATCTTTAATTAGGACGCTGTGAGTGTATGTCACACCGTCACCCACTTGCCCCCTTGTGTTTCAGTCAGATAAGTCAGTCTTCGCTTCCTCTCCTGAAACAGTTGTGTAACGTTAATCACTGTAAAACAACCCACCTGGCACTCAGGGGGTGCATGGTGGTCACTGCTGTGTAAAAATTGATTCTTTATTGCCTGTATTAACTGGAAGTTAAATGTGGCTGAGTGGCTATAAATATCGGAACCTTGGCAATATGTCTCCAGGAGTTATTCTGGGCTGAGGGCCGATAATGAAGCGTCTTGAATTTTATACCTCAGTGGCTTGCCTTTAAGAGGCTGTAGATGTCTTTTCCGTCTGCTCACCTCTGAGCAAATGCCTGCATTTTTCCAGATGATGAGTTTTAAACAGGTGCTGTTTTTTAGTTTTCTGTTTTTCTGGCTTCCTGCTGCTTGTCAGTCTGTTGCTGCAGAGGCGATCTCCTGTTGTCCCCTTCCCATATCCTCTTCTTGAGTGCTGGCCTCCACGTGTTAGCTGGGGACATGTGGGAGGCAGGCAACGGTGCATGTGCCAAGGGGTCCTGCTTCCTCAGCCATCCCCTTAAAGGTTTTCTTCCCCCCAGCCTCTCCCTCTCAGCTGGTTCCCCTGCTCCTCATCCCCAGCTTAAAAGCCCTTCCCCTATGGATAAAGGTCAGTGTCTCCTGAGCACAGTTGTCATCTTTTCACCCCGAAGTGGCTACTGAAATAAGCTCCAGCTGCCATGTGTCTGTCCTATGGTCAGCTTGCTCATGTGGTGGGTAGGGAGCAATTAGGTACCTATGGAGCCCTGCTTGACTGCTAGTAAGTTGTCTTTTAAATACCCAATTTAATGCCCCTCCTCCTTCTGGACAAGTAGTGGAGCAACAAAACCGCTAGAAGGATTGGGAAAGCACAGCTTTCACTGGGAAGTCATTTCTAGGAGTGGAGCTCTTGGTTGTCTCAGGGAAAGCTGGTTAAACATTGCTAGCTGCCTGTTCATTCACTATGGGGTTTTTGAACCAAGCTATGAGGTCCCAAGCATGTGATGGATTTGGGTTGGTACTCTGTGGGTACACCACCACATTTGGAAGGCCTGCTTGAATGCTGGAAGAGAAACTCATCCTGGAAACCCAGTCCAGCATCAAGAATGCTACAGGTGTTGTCTGGGGTTCATTTCTTTTTATTATTTTTATCTTTTTTTAAAGTTGCACTTCCTCCTCCCGAGTGCCAAAGGGATTTTGCAAAATAGGAATTAGGAGCTGTGGACATTTTAGGAAATCAAACCAATGCTGTCTTAAGCAGAAAGGTCTCCAGACTTCTTGAGATCAACTCCAGACTGAAAACTGTTAGTCTGGAAACCAACCCAGGTGCAACCTCTGTTACGTGTTAGAGCAGCAAACATTTTGCTGTACTTCTGGCACAAAGTTTCCATTTGCTGTTCTGTTCTCTGCTGACCCAAACCATTTAGAAACTTGAAAAATAAAAAAATAGTGATCATGAGCTTTCTATGTTTATGCATGCTTTTGGGACTGTGGAAGAAAAAAAGCAAGTGAGGAACAAATAAATTTTAACATCTGTAGGACAAAAGTTAAACTGATAATCTGCATTAATTTCTCCACTTGTGAATGGATTTACAGTTCAAAACCCAGCAGCTACCTCAAGACAATAGATTGCAGCATTCCCAAAAGAGCAGTTGAGGTGTTTCATGGTGATAATTTTTCTCTAAAATATGCCTAGAGACTCACTGATCTCCGGTGGAATCCTTATGATCTGCTGGCTCAAGCATCTGCTTTTTAAAATGTCCCCAAATGGAGATATATTATTATATGGATGATTGCAAAACTTCCAAAGGAACCACTTGAGTAAGTTAGGTAAACATTTGTCATGCCAAAGAAAAAAAAACCCACAACACATGTAGAGAAAAAGGAACACATTCTGGCAGTCATCTTTATTCTCACCCACGTTTTTTTATTTAACACACAATGAAAATGAAAACAAAAATATATTCCACTCAGTGATGCACAGTTTTTATTTCAATGGCACTTTCTTTTGCATGGACAAATGCCAGAAAAATAGAGGTGAGATCTAACATCTTCCTTTCCTGTCTTTGAACAATTGAAATTAGACCATCCACACCATGTGAGCAAGAGCTTTTACAGTTCGGTTGTTCTGCTTGGCTGTACAAATGCTTCAACAATTTGTCTTTGCGAGAGAGGGTGTTTTTATCACTCATACATGTAGTTTATGACAGTATCTCCTTGTCCTTTGCTTTAGGGTGCATTTGTGAAGGTTTCCATTTTAAAACCAAAAAATGCACCTAAAACACGGTGTTGTACTTCTCATAATAGGAATATAAATTAAGTTGGGTCCCACAGTGCTTGGAACCGTTTTGGAGGAACGGCTTTGAAAATTTACAAAAGTGAAGGAAGTGCTACAAACAAATGGTGACCCACAGTCTGATACTGGTCCTCCTCATCTTCTGAATTGATTAGTAGCTACATGATACAGCTAGATCAGAAGCACAGGAAGGCAAATCTACTTTGCTTTTTGTAATGTTAAGGGGAAGTAGTGTACATTACAGCAACACTGCATTGCAGAATTCTGTATATCATCATCCAGAAAATTGTCACTCTTGGTTTGGTTTACATAAATACATCTTTTTCTAGTTTACTGGGTTTTTATTAAGTATTCCAGGCTAGTCCCTTTATTGTGTTTGCAGCTTGTCTGGGTTTCCCTAGCAACACCTTCTCAGTAATTTTCTGTACTTCCAGTTTAGTTATCATCTGGTTTAATCCTTACGCAGATCTATTCTACATATGAATCAAGAAAATAAACTTGCTGGAATTGTGGTCCATCAAATCTGGTATTCTGATTCTGGCATTGGCCAGTAGCAGATGATTTGCAGGAGGAGTAAATTTCTGCGGTAGCAGATACGAGAAATCTGGCTTTCATATCATGATGATCTCATCACGATTTCTAATAGTTTCTGCTAAGAGCTTCACTATAAGGCTTTGTCTCCCCTTATCTTCCATTACTTTATTTATTACTGTCAATTAATCCTCTTCTGGGTATTTGTATGTATATTTGGCTGTTTGTGTATGCATTACTTGTGTATTTGACTCTCATGGCTCATCTTTTCTGCAGTGTTTGGTGGCTAAGAAGCACACTAGTGCTAGTTCTTCTTGTGTGAGTTGCTTTTGGTGACCAGATAATAGTACAGCTCAGTCAGTGTAAATGCCTACTGCAGACAAAGACCTAGGCTTCTATTTGCTTGTCTGGGAAGCTAAATACTTTCCAAAACTTTATTCTTTCTCTCAACATTTCCTTACATGGAAATGTGCATCTATCATACCCTCTATCATTGAACTCCTAGCTCCTAATGATGACTGTTAGATGTCTCTCAGACCTCTCTGATTGTATTCGGTCTTGTTGAAGCAGGGCGACAAGTACAGTATGGGGGGCCCTAGGATGTCCTAATGATTTCTGATGTGTTTCTAGTGAAGTTTGGGTCCCTTTCCAAATCCATGTGCTGAAGGATGATTCTTAGCAGGCGAACAAGCAGCACAAATCTTGTACCACTCCCCTTTTCCCCCATGGCTCTCTGTTTTTTCTTTCCACTGTTAACTTGCCATCATATTACCCATCAGTCTTCTTGCCTTGGTGAATGATTAGTCCCTTGAAGGGACCAGGTAAAATGGCTTTGTGTGCTGAGAAAGACAAGGTGTTTCAGTGCTCGGGCCGATTTCTGTCTACCTGTGGTTATGGCATTGGTGGATTTACTGAATGCTATTGAAACACAACTTCATGTTCAATGGCTAATTCAGAATTTCTCTTCTGCACTCTTGATTAGACCAATAAAGTGAAGAAAAAGTATAGAGTGAACGTGAGTGTGAGACCTAGCATGGAAGGCTACATTCAAAGCAATATTTTCCCTTGGTCTCTTGTTTCTAGGCATTGTCAGGTTTTTATCTGTTTTACCTCCGGCTTCATTGTGGCTTGGTTTCTGAAGTTACAGCTCTGTAGGAGGTTGGGCTGCCATACCTCAGGCTTGTTTGGATGGATAATTAATCAGATTACATCAATTCTTGGTCAATTAGCATTTCAGCTGCATATCTATAATGTGTAGACACTAGGAACAGGAATAATTTAGAAATAATTTTTCTTTTTCCTTCCCCCTCCCCTTTGTTTCTGGAAAGCAGGACCAGCAGAAGTCTTCTTTCACATCAACTCTGTCAAGTGAAGCATCTTGTTCTCTCTCCTCTCCTGAAAGCACTTTCAACTCCCAAGAATCGTCATCGTCTTTGACGTCCAAAGTGGTTTATTCCGAGAGGCAGTCCTGGCTTGACCTAGTTAACAGCTCTGCCACAGAAGAGGGTGATCAGCCTTTAACTTTCTGCGTACAGATTCACTCTGATGAGCCACCAGAAGTAGACTGTGGAGAAGCAGCAGAAAGCCAGGAGGTCTGGCTTTCCAAACCTGGTGGCGGATCCCAAAACTCTTTTTTAAGTCCGGAAACACATTGCCTAGCTGTGCCAGATGCAACAGGACAGAGATCACTAATGAAAGGTGAGCTAATGAGAGAGGACATTTTTGTCTGCAGAGCCATACAACGTGGGAGTTCAGGGGTTTTCCTCAACTTCCTTTCCCCTTCCTTTATGCTCTTCACTGAAGAGTTTTCCAGTGGCACATCATTTATAACAAATATTTGGTTTATTGCACATTAAATATATAACTATAAAGTATCTAACTGGTAAGTACCTTTACAGCTTTTCTCAAATTTTACTTACACGTTAAGATCATAGCTTCTTTATAAAATCCTAATGTAGACATATTTTTATTAGCTTGCTTTATGTCAATGCAGCTGTCTTTTATTAGTTAAGATCAAGTCAAAATTTTAAGAAAGCATGCCACGGAACTGACACCCTGAGCAAAATGGCATACATAGGAAGTGGTGAACATGGGGTTAGGTTAATACAATTTTAAAAATAAAAGCAGTGGTGTTTACTTCCAATACGTATTCCCTATTTGTTTCTTTGAGCTTCATTGCAACCAAGGAGAAACAACTGAAATCCTGAATCAGAAAGTCCATTAAGACTGGATTTTGTTTAAGCAAATGGATATCTGCATAGGTGTTCTATCAAAATGTGCTGCTAAATTAAAAATGTGGCACAGTTCCAGAATTTGGTCATTGTTGCTGTTAATAACTCTCCTACCGTAGCGAGGCAACGTGTCTTGCCTTTTGAGCAAAGCTGCTTCTTCCTGCATTAAAAGTAGTTGAAGTGTAAGAGGCGTTTCTTGCATACAATATGCTGAAATGAGAAAGTACTTGGGAGGCTGCCTAGAGAGGTAATACATAAGGAAGGAACGATGTTCTTGTGCATCGGATCTACCCATGGTTCAAAATCCTTATAAAGATTTGAAGAGAGTACTTTGCTGAAAGAGCAGTGTTTTCTCAGTACAATGCAAAACAAAGGTGCATCCAAAAGCTTAGGCTGAGGGTCATGCAAAGATGGAAAGAAACAGCACTGGACTTACTGGAACTTAGGGTATTTCTCTGTAGGTGAACTGGGCACTGGGAGGTGAATCACAGAAATTATAGTATAAAGCACATCAGTTGCATCATCAGTCTCCCAGTTGTTTTACAGATAGCAACAATTAGCACCCCTTTAGTTGGGCATACGTTTTTATGGTTTTACAAAAAATAAAAAAAGGAAATTGAGCAAAGTACAGTTTTGGACAAAAGTGCAACTTAATTTCAGAGTGTTTTGCACTTAACTTCATTATCCATCTTCTAGGCTGCTCTGTTAGAGGCTTGTAGCAATGAAGATCAGTAAGAATTAAAACCGAGAGTGAGCAGATGTAGTATTTCTGTGTGGTGGAAAAGAATGGATATTTTGAGGGAGGTCCTGTGGAATCTAATTCCCATCAGCTCTGGCACTGCAGAAGTAGTGAAATGGTTGGGGCTGGCAGAAATAGGGTCCCTAATTAAAATGTCACAAAGATGTAGTAAATGCACTGCCTTTTGTAATTTGACTTTCTGGGTTAAATTTGACCAAGTAATGCCTTTGGGAAACATTATTAGGTACATTCAGGTGGACTGTTGGAGTGTAGACCATAAACAGCATGGTCTCTTATAGATGCCTTGGAGCAAGAGTCAGTGATTGTTCTTCAGAAATCTAAACTTTTGCTTAGAATATGTTATTCTGCAATCCTGCAATAATGCATAGGTTAATGTTTTCCATCATAACATAATGGTGACAAGTACTTTTATGGATGGTCACAGAATTAGCATGACACATTCATAATCATTTAAAGCACCGTTTGATAGACTCAGTAATACTTACCAATAGAACTTGGGTTAAAATGTAAATCAAAGCATGTTTTGGTATATTCCTGCCATTTGCAAGGTGGTTTAATTTTCCCAGAAATATTCCTGGGGAAATGAATTGCTCACTGCTTAGCTGATGGCTGACCCTGATAGCAGAACACTTCTATTCTAACCACACTGGTGAACTCTGGTGGAATTCCAGAAATAAATAATTTCAAATGAGGCAGTCATTATGGAAACTGTATAACCTCACTAGTTACTCTCTGCATCATAATCTGTTGTTGAGCAAGTCAGATGTACACCATAGACATATTTTTCTTTCCTTTATCAGTCTGCATAGTATGAGGATGGGATGGAGAGTGTTGATGTAAGGGGGTTGTCCCCCCACCTTGCAATGGCCACTGAAAAAATAATAAAATAATTTGCAAGGAGATTAGTTAAGCTACTTCAGTTTGAGAATGAGGTGGAAAAAGGATTAATGTAAAATAGCAATTCAGTTCCAGATGAAAGTTATCAAAAAGGAAGCAATTCTGGTTCTGTGGCTTATCCCTCAAGAATTTTCCCCTCCAGCTAGTTGATAAGGATGTGCACGAATAATGTGAGATGAATTTAAATTGTGGGGTAAAAGCTAACTGCAAAACCTCATGATTTACAATAGCTAGTAAGAACACCCTTGTTATCTGGTGCGAAACAAGAATGCATACCACAGTGCAGTCTGTATTATTTGCTTTACAACACTTCTGAATAGTGCTTTTCTGACAGCTTGTCATGTTTCAGAGTAATGAGACTGCATCCAGGAGGAGACAGGTCTGTCTTGCATCGGCATCTGTCCTGGAAGCACATGTCCTCCATGCATAAAGCTGGCCCTGCTGTTATCCAAACAGCTATGTGGTCTTTGAACCCCCTCCTCACAGAGCCTTCATGTGTGTCCGTGCTCTCTCTCCTTCTCCTTGTGAGAATAGAAAAAAAACTGTCACACACTCTGCTTTGAGGCTACGTTCTGTTTAGTAAAATCCCATGAGGAGCTTTTGGTTGTAGCTGATAGCAGCCTAGAGCTGAGGTGGAAGTTTTTAAGAACTGAAGAGCATTTTTGTCGGCAAAAGTCAGAAACAGAGGCCAATATGAGAAAAAATTGGTACCTAGAAGGAATAAAGGGTTGCTGTGTCTTTGTGGGAAGAGCTTATAATGAAAATACAAAAATATTGAAGAAACCTCAGCGATGAGTTAAAGAATGGAAGAAAAGTGTCTCAGAGATAAATGGATGAATCTCTGTGAAAGAAACTACAGATTCAACTAAATGGTCATGGATTATTTTTTCAATGAAAATTATTTAATGAAATCTGCTAAGCAACTGTAAGTGTCTGGTGCAAGGAGCTGTACCATATGACATTTTTAACAAAGTTTCCAGCCACTCTTAATGATGTTATGACTATTGTCAGCCTTAATTCTCAGCGCTGATTACTGGTGAGAGGTTACATACCGCAGGGTAATATAAAGGTACAAAAAAGGAGAGTTTAATAGTTTTCTCTTTTGAAAGGAGATCAGCATTAGGTTTCCATTTCCTTTGCGGAAATATTTAATACTTCCGTGTTGCAGCTTGCTGCATGCACAATGACAAAGGATTCCAAGCTGCCCGTGACACAAAGAAACTGAAAAGTAAACAAGAAATGGTTGAGAATACAAACAACGATCTGACTACGTGCTTTATATCCCGAAGCTGGCCTTGCCCTGTCTGGGACGGCTGGACACACTCTACAGTCAAACCCCATCCTTTGTGTTTCTTCTGGCAACCGCTGGAACAAAAAGTATCTGACTATGACCCACCACCACCATCATCAAAAACTATGGTAACAAAAGGAAGCTGCAGGTTACTATAAGAACACAGGAACGTGTGTTTTTATTTATTTAGCAATCTTCTACTGTAGCAATAACATCCTTCTTCCTTGCATTTTTTGAAGGTTTTATGATCGTGTGCAGTTAATTCGCCTTGGCAAGGAATCCTTACAGTACCACTTCTGGTTTATTTGTTTTACCTTAGCTCACAGTAGCTGGTAGAAGATCTGGTGTGTGCTGATGTTTTGAGAAACCTGGAAAGCTTTTCACACACCACTTGAATTTTATCAGGGTTGGTTTTGTGGGAAGGAGTTGGTTAAATAGGAGCTGGATGCAGTCAATTCCTTCTTTTCTCAGAATCGACATCCTCTTCCCCTCTGGAGTCTGCCTGTGCCAGTAATAGCCAGAACAGATCCTCTGGTGTGCTCTGGCCTCTTTGTTCCTTCTGCACAAGTTACAGAAAATGGTTAGACTGTGGCTGAGACTAGCCAAGAAGTATGCCTGTGCTGAGAATAACTGTGTAGAGAAACATCTGCGTTTGAATGATTATTTTGCTACTCATCAGAAGGGCTATAGAAATCACTGTGAAAGCTATGGTGTTACAGTTTTCTGAACTCTTGGAAGAAGAGAAACTTATTTGTGTTGTTTCCAGTTCACTCACAGTTTGTTAAAAAGGCATCCCTCACTGCTGAGTCTGCTATACTGTTATGGTCAAGAGCATCTAACTGTTGGTGGTAACATAGTTTTCCTGCTACTTTCTCCCACTGTCTCCTACCTTTAGTTCTGCATTTGTCAGTGAGGAGTTTGCCTAAGCTATGCTCTCCTAATTCAAATATTTCCTGTCTTTTCTGTTCTGTAATTCTGTGGAAAATGTGATTCCCTCAAGGTGTCATCATATTCCCATTGAAAAGTCTCCTACCACTATGGAGAATGGATGGGAGCAGGGTCATGTATGTAGATAGGTATGTAAGGTCAAAAGCAGTTTACGATTTTTTCCTTTCCTCTCCCCAGCCCAGGTCTATATGTTGTCCCATTGGCATCAAGTGTTTTGGCAGAATCAGAAGTAGGGGTATTGGCACAGCCACAAGAAGCTCATAAGAGTAGCAAAGACAGGAGGAAGAAGCAGATTTTTTTTTTCTGAGATTAATACACAGTTGGATTGCTCTGAGATCCCAGTTAGAGAATGGGAGAACAAGTATTTAGATTTCAGCTTAGAGTGAGTAAGTTATGTTCTGCTGGAGGTGGTTTTCAATGCAAAATGCTCCTTCTGCTAAACATTGCCAATTTCTGTATCTTTACCGCTGGGAAACAATCAGCTTGATTTTTCACAGCTGCTTTTTGAACAGTTCTGGATAATTTCACTTTTGTAGGCTTAAAGAGCATTAAAGTTGAGATTTCAGGCAGGCTCCTGTATTACTGCTGCAAGGTGGGGAGTCTCAATACCTTAATGTCTCCCACCTGTGGCAAGTTGGCCAACAGGACAGTGGAAGCTGAAAACTGAGGAGGTGAAGAGCTGACATGTTGAGCCTCTGGCAGCTTGCTCTTGTCTATGAGATCTCCTGTTAGTTAGAGAGAAATACCAGATAAATGGCATCAAGCCACAAGGTTGTGTTTTACTTCTCCTGAAACAGAATTTTTCAGAAGTTCTGAATTGCCTGAAATATTACTTTATTTTCCTCACCCCAACCTGGAAGATCTTTTTCTCTTGAATGTTAAAATACCTCTGGGCAGGACTTCCCTTTTCCTCAGGTCAGCTCTGTTTTTTTTCCACTTTCCCCACTGTGGAGTCTGACAAAGTTAAAAGAGCTATACAATACTACAGAATTTTTCCAGAAGTGCTAAGCTTTAGTAGGCTGCGAGGCTCCTGAGTGAAGGGCATGGTGCAAGTGCCCAGGAAGACAGTGGCATCACTTGAGAGAATTGTTTAGAGTTAATACTGCCAAGGGAAGGGAAATGTGCACGATGCACGTGTTCCACCGTGTGCATCTACACGCTCGTAAATGCACATAATATGTAATGTCCTTCCACTATTGCCGTTTGTTACTTACCACTAATCCTTCAGTAGGTCCTGAGACAAAAATGAATGTATTTTATTTTTAAAATAGGATGAGATAAAGAAGTGCTGTAGTAGCATTTCGGTTTCCTAACTTGCATGCCTGAGACAGAAAGTGCTTAGCTTGAAGAGTACTGCTGGAAGAGATAACTTGCAATATCATATTTTGAAGTGATTTTGAATGTGCCTGATGTTAGCTGTACGACCCAGCTGGAAAGACTCACTTCAGAGGAGTGCTAGTGGGGCCCAACCTGTCCATGTTATTAAAATTTTTTTACCAGAGGAATATATCCATCATTATAAACCTACTGAGGTTAACAAAGCTCTGAGTAGGGGTGGTACATTTATCTTTGGGAGCCTGACAATATGTTCATTTTTACTCCGGTGCCTGAGCTTGAGTACTGTGTGCTTTTACCATAAATTTTTACTTTGTGATGCAAAGCAAATATTTTGTAAAAATTTAGGCATATGGTCTAGACAGCCCGGGTTTCATAGGAGGAATCCAAGTCACTGAAGCCTAAATACAGACCTGGTGAATGCCTCTGCTTCTATTGGAGGCTTGCTCATCTGCAGGTCAGTACTCTGACTCCAGGTGCAAGGGAATTAAGCAATACCAAGTTCTGGGAAAATGTGCTGTGAATATTTGAATCTGGAGAAAAAGGTCCAGTCTGTGCTTAAGGCTGAGTCGGGCTGCTGTATATCTATTATCCAACCTTAACAGGATGTTTTGTGGGGAAAACAAGAACGTAAAGTAAGGGTAGTGCTTTCTTCATTTACTTTCCTGGCATTAAAAGGCTTGCAAAATACCATAATGCACCATTGTTTGAGTGAGGAGAAATATGTTTTCTTATCACAGATCTCTTTACTGGTCTTGTTAATTGACTGCTAGAAATAATGCCTCTCCCCTTCTTCCACTACCTCTCCCCCTTTCAGATTTACAGCATCAACCTAATGTGTTCAGTGGCACCTTCAAGCCCTTCAAAACATGGGCTTTTGCTTTCTGAGCTTGGCTCAGGGAAACTCAGGGTCTTGAAGGTAGACGTCCAGACAGTCTGACCTCAATTTACAGAGGTTTATTGACAGGCATACTCTTTGTCAATAGCAACAGTATCTGCTTCTATACAAAAGCACAATATTAAGATACAGTTTTGTTATTTTGTAACTCTTGTGGGAGAAGTTCACTGCTCATCAGTGTAAACAAAGATGGAGACAAAAGCACGGTATGAGTCACACCTGGCTCTACACCGCCTGTAGGTTTCGCTCATCCTTGTTTTCCAACTGTTTCATGAAATCCCATTTAGCCACTTCACTGTCACTCCCTTTATCCACCCAATCTGAAGAATCTGGTACATTCCTTTCTCTCTGAAATTACCTGACCCTGATCAATCCTTTAGGGGGTGGGAGTGGTGGAAGAATAAGAAATAGGAGTTTAAGGTTGCAATCTTGAAAGAATGCAGGAGCTGAGTGCACATTGCTGGTCCAGTGCATAGTCTGGGAGCTTTTTGCTGGGCTTTTCTGACTTTGGCTCTTTTTCTGTGCTGAGTACTACTGTCCTCCTTACCTTCACCCGTAAGTGCACAGAAGACATCAGAGTACTTAGCATGGAAGAACAGTGTTCTGCGAGGGTGTTTTCTCATGCTTGCTGCTTTGTAACCCTTTTAGGACACTGAGGAGCATCATGAGTTAGCCTCCAAAAACATCTGCAGCAGGGATCTCATGTACCCCATGGCTTGGCTATTTTTAAAATTGCTGGATGGGACCAATGCATTTTTTTTTTTTTTTCTTCTCATATACTCTTTCTTGGGTATCTGGTAAAGGGCAATTTATCTCTCAGAGTGATACTGTGCACAGTCCTGATGGGTGATGTCTCCAGCAGAGCTGAGCCAGTCCTGTGCAGGAGCTGGCTAATGAAACAAACAGCTGCTTCATCCCAAGAAAGCGGGCAGGAAGCTCGTTATAATTGCAAGCCTCATGGCATGAGCTGACAGTTTTCAGGAAATACTACTGCCGTGTATTATGCTTTATGCTTGCATTTTTTTCTATTTCCTCCAGCTTGTTAAATATACAACAGTTCTCCTTTTCCTCCCCCAGCACTGTATCAATGTTGGAAGCTATATTTAGTTCTTGTCAAGTTACAGCAGGCTTTTTATAATCACAAAGTAGTAAAAAAAAGGCCAGCAACACAGTGAAGGCAAATATTTGTAGCATATCATAAACCTTTCTTCTAACCTAAATATTTAGAAAGAACAGGGGTGTAGGAGGATGCTGTACTTTTTAAAACATGGAAAAGATAAGGAGCAGCCTCCTAAGTATGCTGACATGTTGGAGAAGGCTTTTTGCTGCAGCACGAAAGACCAAAAGGACTTCTTACTTTTGTTCAGAAAGCGTTTGCTGACTGAAGATGATTTAGAAAAGTCAATGGTTAACTTAATTAAAAGAAAAAATGCCCAGCCAGCTCAACTGGCACATGGAGGACTGCAGTTGAGAAGAACCACCACCATCATCCCCGGTGAAATAAAAATGAACGTTATCCCAGTGGATCTTGAGGGATTCATCAGCGCCCTGAAAACACCAACAACTTTAAGATTTTCCTTTAGCAAACACTGAAGTAGAAAAGCTTGCAGTGTGGACTGAAGGACAAGGAGTGAGTTGCGCAGCCTGTTGCTGAAAATGGCCTTCTGCCAAAAATACCTCTATACATGCCTAGTACATTTTTAGTTTCTGTTAACTTAGACTGTTCATTTTTAGGTCAGTTAATTCTGAAAAAAAGTCTTTGCTTCAATTTTTATCTTATTTCATGCTATTTCATTCTCAGCTGATTGCTAGCTTTTCCTTTCATGTCCTCTCTGTCATGGAAGATGGTGCTGCAGCTTGGGAGCCCTCAGAATAATTAAGGTGGAGATAATCAAGGCTCTGTTGTGAGGCACCACAAGCAAATTCTGTGCTGCAATCTGTGAATAGCAGGAGTTAAACACCAGGTGCCCCGAGGGTTTCTGCTTTAACTTGTTTTCTAGAGACCTTCTTTTGGGGCCCCTGAAATGTTCCTGTGTTTTGTTTCATTGCTCAATTTTTTTAAACTCTGGCTTCTACAGTTACCAAAACCTGGTGATAAATTGGTACACCAAATAGAATCTGACCTCTGCATTGCCAGGTAGAAATGTAATTCACTATGTGCAGCATGTAGGAAAAAGGTCAATGGATGTAGATGTTATCAAAGTTGTTTTCATTCAAATGTAGCATTACTGACATTTGTTCAAAGTCTGTGATATATTTGGAGCATTAAAGCAGCACTGTATCAGTGGAAATACATGCTCGTATCTGTTTAGTTCACGACCTGATTCTTAAAAACATTTGAGTTTGGTAGTATGTCTTTCTCATATGCATTATTACCTTATAAATTACCCTAAAAATTGCCCTTGGTTTTAACTCTAATACTGTTACTTTTTGACTTGGCTAAGTGCCTTTCTGATGGCTGAACTTAACATTTCTGCTATCTTCTGCCATATTCACGTACTCATACCCAGTTTATTCTTTTCTTTGCAGATCAGGAAAAATGTGATGATGATGAGATGGAGCGACTTTACAAGTCATTAGAACAAGCAAGCCTGTCTCCCATTGGCGATCGTCGTCTGTCAACGAAGAAGGAGCTTAGGAAGTCATTTATCAAACGCAGCAAAAACCCCTCCATTAATGAGAAACTCCACAAAATTCGAATGCTGAATAGTACATTAAAGGTGAGGTCGCAGAGCGAGCCAAGTAAGAGCCTGAGAGAAAGAAACAGTTTGGATGAAAAAAGAAGCAAGCCTAGACTTCAGCCAAACTCTAATTACATATTTACTTAAAGCCCCAGAGAATTTGGTTAAGCTTTTGAAATTGTTTTCTACTTCATCCTGAATACTGATCTGTGTTTTGTTGTTAAATTTGAACTGGAAACAGAGGCAATAGTTCAGAAGGGACCCTCCTTGCAGAAGTTCCAGCCCATTTGGAAAATTTAATAAAGAAAACGTCCCTCAGTTAGCTGGAAAACTTGCAAGCTTGGCTGAATGCACTAAACAGGGGAGCCCTAAAAAAGGAAGAGCAGACAAAGTACGTTGATGATAAAGGACATGAAAATGACCCTGAGCCAAAAAAAGTTTTCCTTCTGTGATTATTGGAGAATGTACAGGATGTGCCAAAGCTATTGTAAAGACCTCCTGTAACTAAAATATTTTTAATAACAAAAGCATCCTGCTTTTATGTTGGAAACATATCATGAACTAGAGGGGTGGAGGGGTTCAGGGGACATTCCATGAAAGGGCCAGTAAATCTGTCTGGAATATGGGGATTTATGAGGCTGTTTACTCGCCAGCATCAAGTGTCATGGGATTTCAAAGCCTGCTTCTGAATGGTACTGAGGGAAACAGAAAGCTTAACCATGACATTCAAATTATAAGGAGAAGAAAGAATAAACACAAACCTGGGGCTTCACTTGTTCCTTTTTGTATGCATTAGAAGCAGGAATTAAGTAGTTTGTTTCAAGTCCACGTATTTGGCTTCAGGCATTGTGTGCTGGAGAAATGCGTGAAAAACTTCTCCTATCAGCACAATCATTGATTTGATTATTAGTTGCAATGGGAGGCTTGGTTTTGGCACCCCAGCCTGTGTTCAACTTCCTGAAGATACATTTGAAAAGACAAGTGGGAATATAGGCATTCTCCCTCCCTGTTGTAGGGCTTCCAGGCTCCATGTGAGATCTGGTGAAGTCTCTCCTCAGTATCAAAGACTCTTCAGTGACATGGTACTGACTACAGCAGTATTCATCTGCATCAACAATAAAGCGAGCCCACCATGTAACCAGAAGTTAGTTTAAAAAGTACGCCTATTTTATGCAACAGGAAACTAAATATGGAAACCAACTGCAAAGTTTTCCCCAGTAGGAGCCTCCCTAATAAATCTAAGGACCAGGTAGTGCAAAATGGAGTCGTATCTTGTGGGACAATCAATTTCATTAGTATGGAGCTGAATGGAAGCCTGGAAGCCTTACTGCCAGATGTGAACACGGAGGACAGCTTTGCATTGATTTAGCACTGGAGTATTGTATAAGTTGTGATTAGCACTGTTTATAACCTTAGGCTTGTCTAACACTTGTATTTAGTATGGAAAAATCATTTTTGGAGTGTTCATAATATATAAAATATGTTGATCTTTTTTTGCTTTCTCCAAACTAAGAAATTGGAGTATTGACAAGGCAAATATAGCGCAGACATTTTCTCATAGACACAGAGTTCTATACACAGCAGTGTTTAACTTAGCCTGTCTGAAAAGCAAATGCCTACAGTGGGAAAGTGCCATATTCTTTGCATCAGTGGGATTATGTGCTTTTAAAGTCAATTTTCTTAACATATAACATGAGACATGAGATAATTGGAAATGATCTATTGGAAATTTAAAAATCAGAAAGGCTTTGCATCTGATCCATATTTGCTTTAATTAAAACCCTATTAGTTTGAGGCAAGTGATTTATGCATGATTCAGTGCAATTTTAATTTTGGACTTTTGACTCCACATCTTTAACAACAGATTAATGTTGCTGCCACAATATATCATTAACAAAACATGCTTTGGATAGTTTGGAAGAGAGGGAAGCTGTGTGCAAATGCATCCCAGACTTAATGAATGTGGGAAGTAGATTTAGTGCGGCAGAAAAATGCCATGGCATGGCTTTTTGCCACCAATTTGTCCACTGGATATACTCTTCTTCCTTCTACCTCCCTGTCTCCTCTTCTTCTCTTAGGCTAGCTGCACATACGTCTGCATCAATGCCTGAAGCCCTCTCACGAGGGCTGGCACTAGATCTTCAGGGTAGGACCTGCGTAAATCAACAGTTGAACAAGTTTTTGTGTTTCAAGACCAACTCAGGCATCATGGGGATTAGAGTAGTTGACAGCTCATTAGAGTAGTAGTTAGATATGGATGTGTGAGCATGCTATTGCTACTATCAGGAAATGTCATGAACATGTGGGAGTATTTTCAAGGTGTTTTCAAGGCAGCCACTAGCACAGAGTGTCCTTAGGAGTGGCGAAACCAGTGGTAGCAGGAGAAGATGGTGAGAACTATTCCATTGCTTTCACACACAGATTGGGGAATGAAGCTAGGCAAAAGCAGCAAACTTTTCTTAGTGTGGCGTGGTGCCTCCATTAATTGTAGCTTCTAACTCTTCTATCCTGTGATCCACTGCATGGAGGCAATAAGGGCTAGAAAAGTGAAGTGTTTTGTTGTGTCGGAAAATGTGAGGATATCAACGAATATAAATACCTGAAAGGAGGGTGGAAGGTGCTTGAGGAAGGGGGTTGGATCAGATGACATCCAGAGGTCACTTCTGAGCTCAACCATTCTGTGATTCTGTGGCATAAAGGGTCTTGGTCTCCCTGTATCAGAGGCTGTTCATGTCTTACAGTTGAACCAGGGTGCCTGTGATATACAGTCTGAGCTGCTCTTGTCTAAAAGTAGAGACCGGATTCGTTAGTAGTAGCTGTTGGTAGATGTATTAGCAGCCACATGTGCTCTAGCCACCCAGAAAGTCTACTGCCAGTGTGCGGATTATATAAAAAATTATCTTCTGTCTAGTTCCCAGAGAAGAGACATTGATAATGTGGCCAGGGAATAAGTATTTTTGAGAAAGTTGGATGGTGTGAATTACAGAAATAAATGCTGTTACGTCTAGTTTCATGCAAGTACTAAGTTGTTGTGAGACAGCATAACAATGTCTAATTTTCACATGATTCCTCTCTCATGAAATTTTGCTAAGAATCCTATAAAATAAAAAATCTACATGAAATCATAATCTTGCCTTCAACTGGGACAAATTTCTGCTGTGGGCTTAACTTTGATGATCTTATGTTCTAAAAATGGGAACAAGTTGCCAGGAGGATGGATAGCTGGCCATCTCCTTGTGACAGGGTTCCCTAATGTTCCCAGAGTGTTTTTGTTACGGACAATGAGCTTGACAATTTCTGTGCAAAATAACCACTTCTTCTCTTCCTAGTGTAAGGAACACGACCTGGCCACAATTAACCAGTTGCTAGATGACCCAAAGCTGACGGCGATGAAGTACAGAGAGTGGAGGAACACGAACATCATGCTGGTCCAAGATATCTATCAGCAGCAGGAGGTCCAGGACATGTCCACAGAGAATAGTGAGGAGCAAGAGATGACTCCGCAGCCTGTCGCTGAAAGTGCAATCTGAGGCCATGGCTGGGTCGTTCATGGCAAGATTTTTCCCCATGGGTCTTCATGTACAGGCACTTTAAATGGCTGCATTTTGAGGTTTGTTTTTTCCAAGTGTTCTTCGAAAGGAAAACAACGCCTTCTCCAAAGCTTTAATTCCTCTTGCCAAACTTATTTCATGTCAAAAGGGGCAAATCCCCCAAATTAAAAAAAGCATGCCTGAACCTGGGCTTCATACCTAAGACGACTATTTTATGAAACAGCACAGAAATATTTTTTCATCTTGGCAGAAGTAAATTAAATACGTCCAACTCCTGGAAGTCACAGAACTGTATAATATGAACTGTATAAACGTGAGGACTTTGGGGTTGTTTTAACCATGTAACTTCCTGTTAAAGGAAGCTACAATGCCAACAGGATGTAGTCTACTCTTTACCTTTTTACCCTGTAAGGTAACCTGATGTATGCATTTTCACCTCTGCATTCATTCACTTTCACTGCTCTACCAGTTTAAACTGAGACAAATAGAATAGTAATTATGCATGACTTTATACTACAGACAGCTCTCAGGCACCCAGTTTGTGCTCTGCCTGATGTTTTATGAGTTTCAAGTTTATTTATGGACTAGACCAAGGTACTGTCTTTCTACATGAAGAAGATAAGGTCTCTCAGTGTTTGCTAACACGTAATTTACTCTTCAGTGAGGCAGCTATTGCTTCGACAAGTTTCAACTGTTCTTATGGACTTGGCAGAATTCCTTGGAAGACTATTTTCTTCTTTCTTATTTTTGACAATTGTGAATATATCAGGTACAAGTTCATCCCAGATTCCTACTTAGGAAGGTGATCAAGTTCACAAGGCAGAAGCTAAATAATTAAATTCCTGATGTGGACCTGAAAGTGTAAAACATAGCTGCAAATATTTTTGTAAATAGATGTCATTTTTTGGCTTATATGAATGTGACTATGTACTGTATATATGTTTTATTTATATATTTATATATGCTGAATTTCCTAATGTAGATAGGCGCACATGGACCAGACCCACCCAGATGAGAATGCTTACAGGTCAACTTGAAATGCCTCTTTGTTTTTTGTTCCATTATGAATCACAGTAATGGCTCTACAACAGAGACTACCCTGGGACAGCTGCTGTAACTTTTTCTTCTGTCTCTCGAGCTTTGAGTTTTAGATGAAGAAAATTGATACAACTTCAGGCAAGAAAATAAGTTTTCTAGAAAGTTTCAGGATGTCCCTTTGGGCAAACAAAAATAAGTATGTTGAGAGGTTTTGCTGGAGTATCATAACTTTTTGGCTTCATTGCCCTCAGTACAAGGTTTGGGATTTTTGCCTTCCCATCTGCTGCATGTGTACAAGTATGAGGAACTTTGCGGAGTGCTGAATTTTGAAAAGCAAGAATTAGCCCACCATTCTCAAATTAATGCCACTACAGGAACTGTGGCAATCTGCATTTCTGTTGGCTATTTCGTAAAGATATTCTTTGTCATTAGTTTTCAACACAGCTTATCTTTTAAAGCAAAATACACTATGTGGATACAGCCATATTCACCTGTCTTTATACATTATATATTTTATCATAGCTTGACTGAGAAAACAAAAGTTAATAGTATTAGTGGGAACATGTGAAATCTTTTCCACCTGTGTAGTGATAAGTCTGACTGTTGATATTGCATTTTTAACACTCAGCAGCTTTTCTTTTAAAATAGAGACATGGAATTATGTCCCAATGCATCCAAAAATGGCAATTAAGATGATGCTGAGTGTGAGAGCTGAGGAGCAGATTGTGAGCTATAGGAAAGGGAAAACAGAATGAAGCATGTAGGCTCCTTTCATACAGGCTTTAATGGGAGAGTGTCAGGGGAAATGTGAGCTGGTTGAATGCAGAAGCAGGGCTATGCTTGGGATAGCATCACTGCCTCAGGTATAAAACAGTTTAGGAGTGTGAGGGTAAGGGCTGATATTGGGCCAGGACTTAATAATTGGGGCTAGTCTGGTTGTGGGGAACAAATGTTAGCTGAGACCTGCAAGTGGGTGACAATAACTAAATGGGGAAGCAGACACAAAACTCAGGTTGGTTAAAAAGCTATAGTTTTCAGGAAATTGTCATATGAGGGGTGATTTCATCCCTTCACTAATGCTAACTAGAAGTTGATAGGAATTAAGCAAGCTCAATACCTGTTGCAATTTGGTTTAGAGTAATCACTTCCTAAAAACTGAGCCCATTTTAAGTTTGTTTTTTTTTATCTTTCACCATTCCCAGAAGAACCTCTGGACTGTGGACATCTGTGAGTGTTCTGCTCCTGAGTGAAATTCTTCAAAGCAGATGCATAGGTGGGAGAGGGATAGCCCCTGAACTTGACATGATGTCAATTAGCTGCTGAGTACACGCTGAAAGTTAGGAGTGTAGGATTAATCTGCTCGGTCCATCTCATTTTTAACTATTGGCACTAAATAATTGATAAATAATGGAGGTCAAAGTGAATGTATGCTTCAGATTTTCTCTTGCAGGTGCAGACCATTCAGTGTCTCATGAAACAAAGCATGCAAACACCACTTTTCTTCAAAAGCATCTTCATGTGGATCTTAAAAACAAGCATGAGCTTAAATGGCCTGTTAAACTGAGCCGGACTAATCAGTGCCTTGCAGTTCCAAGCAAAGTCCTAGTCAACCCCGTTTGCTGAAGTAGATTTGCACTATATGAAGGAAAGTACTCTGTGGCATGCACACGCTGCGTTGGCTCTTTTCACGCTGTGCTTGTATAAGCATAAACAAAAAAAGTTTCCCAAATACAGAGATACGCAAATGTCCTCAAACTGCCCAATCTCTACTATTGGTTTTGATGAGATTAGACAGCCTAAAATAACATTTAAATTGCTCTCTTCCAGATGGTCAGTAGATACTTACTGTTGAACTACTGACTTTTTGAAAACCTGCTGAGGATGGGCTGTATCACCCTCTTTGACAAGAAAGGCAAATTCTTGAATGGGTTTATTTTAATGAAGTTGTTATTTTAACAAATTTCTGTGTCTTCAAGAAAACAAACGTGAGTTTTATGCAAGTGCAGTGCTGGGAGTCTATCTCCGTTCTCTTCAGCTACGATTTAGACCCGAAACAAGTGAAAAGTGTGGGAAATGTGAAATGAAAATTGTAGTAAAACGGGATTCATTTTCCAGCATTGCTAGCTAATGTGATGGGTTTGACCTGGTGCTGGATTTGTCACAAGGGGCTGCGCAGCAATGTTGAAACCACAGTCAGAGAAAGAAGAGTGCACAAGCCAACAGCTACAACTAGTGGATGCACCGGGGAGCAGAGCCACGTTGGTGGGAGAAACTTGGACAACTCCATGCTCCGCTCAGCAATACTTAGGGTAAATGGTATCCGTTGGTCTGACTTTGGAAGACCTGCACTTTTGGCTCATAGGGTAGGGAAACTGCATTCCCCAGTGAATGTCCAAAAGCCTTTAACCATCTGCCTCATGGGACTAGTTTATGTACTTTTTCAGGAGAACGGGTGTGTGCATGGGTGTGTGCACATGCATGCTTATTCCTTTGTCAGTAAAGCCTTTTGGTATCAGTGCAGTAAGTCCAGATGGGCAGATTTTGGAGTAACTAATGACTGTCCTGAATTTCAGCCATTTCTGCAGCCTGTCTCTGGTGGCTTTTCTGGAAATCTTATCTCTCTTTTGATGGTGTAGACCTTATGAGCTACCAGAATGAAGTGGGATCACATTTCCTTTCCTAAGATGGGAGAAGTTTCATGTGAGGACTGCGAACAATTTCTGCCTCTAGTTCTGATGATCTACTCAATAGTGGGTTTCACCTGAAACAGGAATAAATAATGTGCTACAACCCTTATTTTTTTTGCAAATAATTTTCTTTCTTTTTGGTTTGGGACAGCCAAGGAGGGAGGGGAAGAAAAGAGGTGGTATTTGATTTAAAACTATGTAGATTTTCAGAATTTAAAATTATTACTAACTAGGAAAAATTATGGGCATGTTGCATTTGTTGGGTGAGCCTGTAAGCTTACATATCTGTTACAGACTTAATATAAAAACTTGCATTTTTTATCTTTTAAATTAGCAAAGGAGTCTGTATAAGCATACTTCTGTGTGAGGAACTCCATGTATTGTGGTTGAAGTTTGGGGGTTGGGCTTTTTTTGTTGTTTTGCATGTTTGGTGGCACAAAAGTGACCAATTGCAACGAGGGACTGGGCTTACTTCATTTATATGAGACATCTTTCTGTTAACAGGAAGCCAAAGTGGTTTTCTTGTAGTATTAGAGCCAAGGTGGTATTTCCTGTTTTTTGTGGGGCATTTCGAAGCAGCAGACATTTATTTAAGATGTCAGTTAGCATTTCTTTGGCGGCTTGAAGATTTATCCCATTTTGGTCTGCTTCAAGCTGCCACATTATTGCATTTTTCAGAACTGTCTTCACTATTAACTAAACCAAAAACTGAGGTGAAAAAAATGAAAGGGAAAAACAGAACAGGAAAGCTCTGAGCTAAGATCAGGCTGAAATTCTTGTCTCTGTGCATAAGGGTAATGGGAGTTAAGCTTGCCAAAAGCTGGGCATTTCAGCACTGAAAAAAGATTGTCAGGTGTTGAGGAGAGTACTACATTCCTTGAAATTCGCTGTGGGAGAAGGTCCAAGACTTGTCTGCTCTGGAAAATATTTTTCTAATTTACTTCCTCCTGGTAAAAATCCAAAGGGAGTGGTTTATAAGCTGGCAGAAAGTTAAAAACGCAATATGCGTGTAATTCATTGATAGTTCATCAACCTTGATGTATTACCTCAAAATGACGGACTTTAGATGACTCTGCCTTTAATGCAGAAAATCGTACCACAGTGTCTGAAGCTTATTTACCCCATCTGGCCCACATGAGGTCCATTTTGATGATGTAGGTTTATGTCACGTCTATAGGGCAAATAGCTTACATCATCATGCCGTAGCTTAGGTACCATGTGAACTCTTAACACTCCCTGTGTCCTAGATGCCTTAGGACCCACCCAACTTATGCTGACTCTCAAAATTGCTTATGTCAGTTTTACCTTCTCCCACCTAAAAATAAAAAAAGAGAGGATATGAAAACATCTCCCACTCTCATGTGAAGAGGACTGGCACTAGTCTAGGTAAGATTCAGATAAGTCACTTTATTTATGAACGTTCAGCAAAATAACTCACCTGGTGAAATACTATATGGGCATACTAACAGCATTGCTCTTGTGCAAAGCTTTCAGTGCTGGGGACTGGCCCAAAGGAGGAACAGGGTTGTCTATTCCATTACCCTCTGTAGGCAGGGAAAGCCATGCATAGCGGAGTATTTGCAAGGATATCTGTTAGGCAGGGCCAGGGCCTGCAGCACCATGAAGGTGTATGGAATCCCAGTTTGGCATTTTATCTGTGAAGTCTATTTTTTTTTTTCACTGTTTCAATGTTTGCACTCAGCGCTGCCTTTTTACTGCTTGTTGCCCACACATGTGACTTGATTTTAATGATACACACGTCTTGCAGAATGAGAGCCTTATGTTTGCACTTGTCAATTAAACACTGAAATGAGAGAATATTTTGCTCAGCCTTTTTTTTTTTTTTTTTTTTTTACTTTTCTCTGTGGATTTTTCAGTTTACTGCTATATAATAAAATAAGGACTTGTTGGTTCTTTAAACAAGCAATTTCCCCTTGGGACTAATATTACTACTAAGCTGAATAATCTGGAACCAGGGAGAGTCAATGAATGGTTTGACTGAGGAGTGCCTTCCACTAGTTGGCAATGTAATTTTTGAAACTGCTGTTAAATTAGATAATTCTCTCTAATTGGTTTCTGTAGCCACCTTTAAGGAAGGATGGTCTCTTCTGCCAGGCGTGGGATGTTGTTAGAATATTTATTTTTTTTTTTCCCACAGAGCAACCTGTTTCAATTAAAAGAGGGTTGGGATCTTCATCAAGAGTTTCAGCTTAGCCAGACAGGCCAGCCAGATAGCGGCAGAGTGAAGGTGTGTTTCCTAAGAAATGAGCTTGTCTAAGGGCCCAGCTTCCCTGAAGGAAGAATATCCCTGTCCCCCTTTGTTCCCCCAATCTTCTAAATGCTCCTGCTGCTTGCTTTGGGCTAATCTACTCATCCTTTGGTATCTCTGTCAGCTCAGCCGAGTCAGGCAGCAAGGAACAGACGTGGCAAGCTGGGTAGTTGTCTACTGCAATGGTGAATAAAATCAGCTTGTGGAGAGGCTCAGTGCCTGGCAGAGCCCTCACAAGGGAGGCCGCTGGATTGTGTAGGCAGAAGCAGAAGGAAGAAGAGCTGCGTAAGCGGGACGAAAGAGGGAGACCTCTCCTTTTTAGGAGCAGAGCATTAGCTTGACTCAGCTTCCCACAGAGCTATAACTTCACTTTCACCAAGTGATGATTTCCCTTTTTTCCCTCTGCAACACATGGTTGTGAAGACAACCTGAAGGAACAGTTTTCATGCGGGGTTTACTGTGATCTCAGCCTGTGCTCTTGCTTTCTGTGCCTCATGCATAGCCAAATGTTTTGTTTCTGGGCCTGAAAACCAAACGCTACAAAAAACCAATGCTATGTTTCCTTAGGCTCCTTCCTGGCATGCTTGCTGCAGGGATGCTGGTGCAGGCGAGAGGGGCAGTGGTTGGGGCTGCAGCACCCTACCTGCACCTGCTTACACTAACTATGAAACTGCACCTTGCTGGCTTGGACCACCTCTTGTATTTCTCTGGATTTTGGTTTACACCCTCCTGTGGTAGTACAAAATACAACCAGTTCCAAAGTTTTATAAGAATAGAAATTAGTTGCTTATCATGATTTGGACATTTGTCTTTTCTCTGCTTAAAAAATCCACTGGGTTTCCCCAGGTTTCCAGGCAGTCACTGTGAGCTTGGGGTCGGTACATTCACTGGCAACACAGAGGGCAAAGGTGCCTTTCCTGGCATCTGACCCTATTTCATCAGGTCACATTTTGGAATAGAATCATAGAATCATTTAGGTTGGAAAAGACCTTTAAGATCGTCAAGTCCAGCTGTTAACCTAACACTGCCATCCCACCACTAAACCGTGTCCATAAGCACCTCGTCTGCCCATCTTTTAAATATTTCCAGGGATGGGGACCCGACCACCTCCCTGGGCAGCCCGTTCCAATGCTTGACAACCCTTTCTGTGAAGAATTTTTTTCCTAATGTCCAAATTAAGAAAGGGTCCATCATCGTTCTTTTGCCATTATCATGGGCTGTTTCTTACTGCTGGAAGAAAGTACCTACTGTCAGGGGGGAAAGTTCCTGTATTATCTTCCTGTGCTCAAGAAATGACCTAGTTGTCACTGGGGGATGTTAAAAACTATCTGACAGAAGCCTTGGTGGTACACGGGATGCAGTGCACGGTGACAAACTGCTCGGTTCTTTTGATGGGGAAACGTGCATCTTTCTTCTTTCCACTCCCGGACAGGGCAGGGTCAGCCTTGGGCAGGCACCCAAGCCAAGTTCTCCTTGCATTGCCGCTGGGGAAACGTGGCTTCTTGCAAAGGGCTCTCAGCAAGTTTTTTGGATGGAGCAAACCTGATGCCTTAGCACAGCCTGCTGGCTGTTGGCGAGACAGCAAGGAAGGGAGAAAATGCCAGGTTTGGGTGGAAGAGGGGAAGTACCAGTGTTACTGCTGGTGGTGTGGTGGGCTCGGTCCCCACCTGAGCCAGTTCCACAGCCGGGCGGAGGCATTTGCTGCAGGTGGAAAAGTGGAGGCGCTGCCTGGCCCACCGGCCCCCTCCAGGCCTGAAAGAGCATCAGTGAACTGAAACCAGGTACAGGCCGAGGGTAAAGATGCTCTAGGAGGAAAAGCAAGTTAATGTCTGAGGGAGGCAAGGGGAGTGCAGGGAAAGGAGAGGTGGTAAATCTGAGGTGGGGGGAAGGGGTGATTATTGCCTGCAGGAAACTGAGGGGCATGGGATCAGTGAAAACCCACACCCTGCCATACAACGGATGTCCCCGAGGGGATGATTTTTAGTGTCTGGTTATTTAACATCCATGAATCTCAGCCAGTAACTTGTTAAAGCTGTTTTGCAGATCAGCCTGAAAGAAGAAGGTTGAGAGGTTGGAGGTTGTTGTGCGGAAAATACTCTCGTTCTGGTGTTAAGGACCGTGGCATGATTCTGTCCCACACAAAACATCCGTGCAAGTCTGGTAAAACCCCAAAGCCACAGTCACAGCGTGGCACAGGGACACAGCTGAAAAGTCAGAGGCATCTCCGATGTCCTCAGGCCTCGCAATGGCAGCCATGTCCTGGTAATCTATGGGCCTACCTGTGCTCTCGCGGCCCTGTTGCTGAAGCAGAAGGTATATTTCTAAGGTGTGTTTTCTTAAATCTCATTTTTATTACAGGCAGTAAATACAGTTCACCTTGGCTAGCACTTAAGTTCATAAATTACAGCAGCAATGAAGATGACCCTGGTGGTGGTGTCCTTTCCTGCGTAATTTGAAAGTTTCACTCTGCAAATGCCAGGAGGAGCCCCAATTAAGATGTCATGCTGCTGTAAAGCACACACATCACCTTTCCAGTTTGATGTGGTGTTTCATCATGAGTGTCATTTGTTTTCTGTGAATTAATTTTTTCTGCTCATCTTGCTGATGACCAGTTGAGGCAATTTGGGTAGCTGCGTCTTATGTGTTGGAAGAAGCAGGTGAGAGCCTCAGGACTGAGGCAGCAAACAAAGCTCAGCCCCTTGGAGACAGTGACACAAATGGTATATATGTCTTGAAAATGGGATGTGGGAACCTCACTCCTTCAACAAAGGAAGGAAACCGGTCCCATGAGGAATCAGAGGAATGATGAAGGCAGTTTGCATGGCAGCACTGTTCATACAAAAATCTGAGTGTGAAGTAACCCCTGGGAGCAAAGTCCAGATGCAGGAAGGTGTTGGCTGGTTTGGGAGCATGGCTGCTCTGAATAATCGCAGGGCAACCTGGTTGGGCCATACCCCCAGCAAGCCCAGGTGCTGGGCCAGAGGAATGAGAGACAACGTGGCCGGGCCTTTCCTCTGGATGTTAGCACCCATGCTAGCTGTTCTCTGACATGATGCTGATTTGTGGATCCAGACCAAGCTCATATCACCTGGTCTAGTTCTGCATTTTTATTTCTGCCTGACAACGTCTGCAGTAGGGTGCAGGACGGTAGTGGCTGAAATGCCTGGTTTATTGGCCTCATATTGTGAAAGCCTTTGGACTGCACTTATGTCTAAAGGTAGCCAGGATTTCTTGTTCATGTTTCAGTGTTGGTCCAACTGCTCTTGCTGATAAAGATTAGTCTAAAGTTAAGATTAGCTTTTGTGTCAGAAAAAGTGTGAGTTAGTACCAGGTATAGGAGAGGTAAATGAGCACCACATTGTATACTGGTAGTTGCCCTGACCCAGGTGCAGGACCTCATGAGGTTCATGTGGACCCATTTTTTGAGCTTGTCCAGGTCCCTCTGGATGGCATCCCATCCCTCAGGTGTGTCAACTGCGCCACTAGCTTGGTGTCATCTGCAAACTTGCTGAGGGTGCACTCAATCCCACTGTCTATATCATTGATGAAGGTATTAAACAGTAGTGCTCACAATACGAACCCCTGAGGGACACCACTCATCACTGATCTCCATCTGGACATTGAGCCATTGACCACTACTCTCTGAATGTGACCATCCATGGTCAAGTCATGCTGGCTCTCTCAAATCACATCCCTGTCTTCTATGTGCTTTAGCAGAGCTCCTAGAAGGATTTGTTCCATGATCTTCCCAGGCACAGAGGTGAGGCTGACAGGTTGGTAGTTCCCAGGGTCCTCCTTTCTACCCTTTTAAAAATGGGCGCAATGTTTCCCTTTTTCCAGTCACCGGGGACTTCACCTGACTGCCATGACTTCCCAAATATCACGGAGCATGGCTTGGCAACTACATCACCCAATTCCCTATATACTTCCAGGAGGGTCTGTGTAAGGGAAGAGGAAAGTTGAGATTTCCTGATTAAGTGTCCACTCTGAAAAGAGGTGCTGCATCCTGGCATTGACATTGTCCATTAGCCCAATTCTTCTTGTGTGACTTTGTCTCTCCTGAAGCCAGAATACGGCTGTGTGCAATTGCAGATGCCTTTGCAAAAGACATACGCAGCTGAGCTGGCTTTGAGATGGCTTGTGCCAGTTCACCCAGCTAATAAAGGGAGGGGTGGGCTCAGCTGGCACCCTCCGGAATGGGGCCCATCAGCTCAACTCCCTGTCTTTTTCTCTTTATTAAAGGCAAGGCAGAGTGAGGAGGCTTACCTGGGCCACAGGAATCTGACTCTCACTTTGAATAATGGGAGGTTACTTTAGAAATCCACGTCAGGGCCTTCCATGTCTCCAACTTAACAGAAAAAAAAAGGGCACTGATGGGAGATTGTGTCATGGGCAATACAGTCTTGTCTAATTCTTTCCAATTAATATTAACTTTTCATCAGGATTCAGGTACTGAGGAAAAACCTCTG